AAAAAAAAGAAAATGCGCAAAAAAAAAATGAAAAAAAAAAGGAACCAATAAAAAAACGAACGTGTCGTAAAAAAGCCGCCAAAAACAAAAAAAAAAAAAACAACAGTAAAAACTTAATAAAATAAAAATAATGCGCCTCCAATGTAATATCCGAGAGGACGGCAAGAGGAATATAAAAAAATATAAATAGCATCCTTCCGTCTTGGAGAGACGATGGAGTAGCTATGTAATCCTACACTTGGACGACGAGTTGCTCACTAGGCTTATCCTAGAATGACTATCTCGACTGCATTTCTCGCCGGAGAATATTGATTTCTGGTAAGATCTTGACTTTCGTATTGTTCTTTTTGTTGAAAGAACCTTGTTTCGCGTACCTTCTGCCATTTTTACTCCTTCATACACTGCTGTTCGCCAACTGGAACGTTGCTCGCCAAAGAGCTCCCATTCCATATTTTCAATGTTGGCTTCCCTCATGCTTCTTTTGCAAACGTAAATAAATCCGAGGCGTGGCCGTCCAATATGTCTTGTCCCTTCTGCCAACTCTCCATACAGCAGTATCTTTGGAATACGTCCTTCCTCCATTCTCCTTACATGGCCTAACCAGCGAAGACTCTGCTAAGAGCGGAGAATATGCTAAACAAGTGTGCACGTTCCAAGACCTCTGTGTTAGGCACCTTGACCTGCCATCAAATGCGTAAAATGCGAATCAGACATCTTTGATGGAAGCTGTTGAGTTTCCGCTTATGACTGGTAAATGAGGTCCACACTTCGCTGCCATAAAGGAGCTTGATATGCACATATGCCTTACAGACACTTATTTTTGTTTTATCAGTTAGATTGAGATTATTCCACAACCACTTATTCAGTTTAGCCATAGATGCTGCTGCTTTTGCGATCCTGATATGTATCTCTTCATCAACGGAGAGATAACATGAACTATTGGATCCAAGTTATGTCAAATTTTCTACAACCGAAAGATTATGTTCCTCAATAGATATGATTTGATGGGACGGTGCTTCTTGCATCATTACATGTGATTTCTGAAGAATAAGTGACAGTGAAAACTCTTTACTAGCGGGTGATATACAATTAACCAGCCAATGAAGACCTTCTTCTTTGTGAGATGTTAAGGTGGCATCGTCAGCGAATAGCAGTTCACGAATCAGCACCTTTTTTTTTACTCTGGCTTTTGCATGAAGGCGAGCGATATTGAACAGCCTACCATCAGATCTGGTATGGACGTATACTCCATCTTCAAAGTCCCTTAAGGCAAATTGAAGTAGCATCGAGAAGAAAATGGAGAAGAGCGTTGGTGCCAGTACCCAATCCTGTTTTACTCCGCTTCTGACTGAGAATGCCTCAGAGACAGCGCCATTAAAGGTTACTATGCTGTGCATGTTTTTTTTTAAAAATGACTGTATGATTGTGAGCAGTCAGGGGGGAGAGCCTATTCTTTGCAAGATACTGACTAGGCCTCTCCGACTTACCGAGTCAAATGCCTTGGTCAGGTCAATGATGGCAATATAAAGAGGCACATGCTCTTCACTACTTTTCCCTGTATTTGGCGTAACGAGAATATCATGTCTGTTGTTGAGCGCGCACTCCATAAGCCACACTGGGTCTCTGGGTAGACGTGGTTTGTCAGACTCTGCAATCGTTTAAGGGCAACACGGGCAAAAGTCTTTCCAACTAAGCCAAGGGGAGAAAATCCTCGGTAGCTATTGCAATCACTTCAGCCCCCATTTATTTTAATACATTGTTATGACGTTGGCGTCTCTCATGTCATATGAACATAAGTGGGTGATAAATTAAATACATGGAAAATAGGAAATAATCTGGGGGAAGTAAGTCCACGACGACTGATCTAATCAAAGAAAAGCTTTAATAAATAAATGAGAACATCATGACATTCATGTCATGTTTTTTCAAGGTTCCATAAGCATGGATCAGTTGTTTTTTTCAAATCCACTAAGTTTAATGTTTTTGTACAAGACAAAACGTCAGTGATAGAAAAATCCCCTGGACTCTTATAGTTCGCCTCTATCAATGTGGTTTTAGAGCGGACATTGGGTATGATGAGCAATATTACAACGGTGGTTAGTACATGCTTCATCGAAGTGTCATCCTGTCTCACCAAGATTTAACATCCAACAGCGTATTTAAACAATGGCATAGTCAACATTGCGGCTAGTACAAAGGAAACCGTCCCATATCTAAAAGCTACCCTCATAAAAGAGAATGAGTGAAGTTTTTAACCTGCAAAAACAAAATAGGAATTTAAACAAAGAGGGTAACAAAGTGCACACTTGGTCTTCACTGTGAAATTTTCAAACATCTGAAGATATCGAACACTTGGTAAAAAGGTATGCTGAGATTTGAGAAATTTCACACAGATCATTTATTTTAGCTCAAGTAAAGTGCTGTTCATAAAGTCAACATGACAGCAAGTATTTGGGTAATGAAAGCCCGTGGTTCACTACCTGATTGAGAAGTCGGTCAACTTCAAAAATGCGTCATGATCACGATCCACGCGTAAAAAAAAAATTTAAAACGCAATGGAAAAACTCTCTGGAAGTTTAATGTTGTGATTCATGCCGACACAAAATTCACAGTTATACTCCTTAGCGGCAACGGCTCTGCTGGTAGATCGTATACTTTTTTTGTTAAGTTTTAGATTCGAAAATACTTTTCTCACATGAAACCACAAATCGTGAGAAATAAATCGTAGGCTTAATACGAGGATATGGGGGTGTGGGTGGGGGGGGGTGGATTCTGTGAAGCCTTATTAATTCTTTGGATTTCAATACTTAAGAAATAATCAATATTTTTCTTCTTGGAAATTAAAATCTACTGCTTAAGGAACCTATCAGGCTATGCAAGGAATCAAGATAATTAAATATAATTTCAATTTAGTTAAATGGTAAATTATACAAAAATCAGTTTTTCAAGAATTAAGAAGTAAAGATTGGATGGTGTAGTAAGAATTTTAATTGTATGTTTGGCCTCGAGAAAATAAACAACTGTCACAAAAGTGATCAGACATGTCTTGTAACCTCTGCACTTGTTTGGTTATATATGTTTTTGACTAGGTAAAACGTTACTCTCTTATGTTATTTCAACCCACCCCAGCTGCGCATAAGAGGTTATTACTTTTATAACCCCATGAAAACTAATCCTATCCTGTGTGAAGTGCAAATGGCAGTATATAAGTAGCGCCCATTACTGGAACGAAACTCTAAAAACTCGCCACTTGGAAATCCCTTTTTTACAAAAGAAAAGAAAAACTCCATTTAATCGAGAGTAGCTTGATACTTTCAACATCTGACCTATGCAAAATAAAATGACAAGTTTGATCAGCCGTTTTTTCTGCATTGTCCATCTGATCGCTGGGAGTACAGGCTATTTTGTTAATAACTGGGACCAGCCGTTTAATTTCAATTGTCCACCTGGGCAGGTCATCTCTTATGTCTCTAGTATCCATGACAACGGTGCAGAAGACAGACGCTGGGAGTTTCTTTGCAGGGCAGTTGCCAATACACATTCATGTTCTCACAGCGGTAAGTGCTACGTCTGTCTTTCCATGGATTTGAAGTGGATATTTTTAATTTGTACAGCTGCTTTCTAAAACGGCCCAAAGAAAACGACCTGTTTCAACTATATAGCGTTCACTAAAATTTTTATAAGAAGGGTATAGATGGCGGTGCGAGCAATGCAATTACAGCAATATTTGATTCCGAATACATTCGGAGGAAATGTGACCGGTTACATACCATTTAATTGCTTTGTAAATGTTGTACATTTTAACTTTTGGCTCGTAGAATGAAAAATACGCAACAAAGGAGTAAGGACAAGCATACAAAGAAACACGATACCAAATATAATAAGAATACAACTATCCAATTTAATAAAACAACTAAATTTATTTTAAAAAATATTCCTGCAGCTGATTTTTTGGCTCTTTTGGCTAATTAGTTTCCCGACGAATGCTCTAGAGTAAAACTCAGTTAAATTACGTATTCACGCTTTATAAAAAAAATTCTCCAACATCATTCTTAGATAGAGCGCTATCGTATCATTATTAACATTGTAACATTTAGGTTTCATACAGCAAAAAGCGTTAAAACCGGTCAAGCCCAAGATGTTATTGTAAAAATATGAAACGTTACCCGATGGGGAGGTTTACCGGAAATTTGATCGAAAGAAATGTCATCGCCGGTAAATTGATCGACGGTAAATTGATCGAACGGAAATTTTGTCGAATCTTTTTTTCAGTTCACCCGTTAAAATTTTCGTCAAAATTATTTTTGATGGCACTATACGATATAGTAAAACAAAATAATGCGTTCAAAAAGAAATTTAAAGCAAAATTTTAAGGTAAAAACTGAAAAATTATCAATTAACCGTCGATCAATTTACTGTGGACGAAATTTCTTTCGATCAAATTTTCGGATACGCATTGCGAGTCCAATCCTTGCGTGAGGGCCATACTAGACCACTGAAAAAATCACTGTTAACGCAAACGTTAAATAAACGCAAAGCTTGTAAAAGAAAGAAAACTGACACCCCGTGAAAAGAAAGTCCTCGCCATTTTTATCTACTTTTGTTCCTATTCACTCAGGATACGTCAACACGTTCGACAACCCTGTCGTCTTCAGATGTCCGGGGCATCAGGTGATGACCGGCGTCAACAGTTACCATAGCAACGGAAATGAGGATCGTCGGTATGGTTTCTACTGCTGCAACGTCGCGTCTTTAAAAACATGTGACTGCTACATCACCGGCTACGTCAACGACTGGGACGAAAAGCTGACCTTGGTTGTACCCGAGGGCAAGGCCATCAAGGGCGCCTTCAGTCATCACGACAATGGCCGTGAAGACAGAATCTGGCAATTTGAGATCTGTAATCTGTAGATGAATTGAAGGGGACTGCACCGTTTAGATCAGTTAAACCTGTTCCCTTGAGATAGCATTTTAATTTGTTCTTGCGACAATATTGAGATAATGCAAGACAGATACAATTTTTATGAGTTGTTTGTTTTTTATTAATGGTATTACTGATTTACGCATTGTCTCTAATAGAACCTTACATCAAGAGTTTTATAGATCTTTGGGACCTCAGTTAATGTTACTTAAAATTTTAAAATTATTTAATGGTTCACTCAACCTCACAGAAATAAAAACTGCGATCTTTGAAGGCTTTAAGCATTTTAGAGTAATAATGCTTAGCACTTAGTCATGTTTTGTGGATATCATTGATAATCCACAAAGCAACTCAATGCCTACGTCCTATCTGAGCATCTAGTCGTGTTCTATAAAAATCATTAATAATCGACAAAGTATTTCCTAAGATATAACTGAACGAATACAGGATTGATAAACTTTTATTTGCAGAAATTGGAAGGTAAGATTTTCTGAAATTAAAAATACAATTTTTTAAATTAACTTCCAGGATCAAAACGATAAAATCGAAGTATTTTTCAAAATAAATGTCATTTTTCTGAATGCAGCAGCGTGTTTGTGAAAAGCCGGGACAGGGGCGAGGAAAGTAAATAAATTCATCAACGTTAACAGTTAAATGCTTCCTGGGGACGAGTTGATTTTAGAATATTCAGGCGCCCCTTATCTTTGTTTTGCAGGCATTAAAGTATTTATTGATTCACCCTTTAGGTCAAATTTGAGGACAATTTTGAAGCAACCCCTTTGATGTTTAAATCCGTGATTAGTGCCTTTGAGACATTGATATATACTCATAGCATGCACACACCAATTTGTTTGGGTATTTTTTTGAAATTAATAATGTTGTACAGACAAGTATATTGAGACACTATCTATAATCTTGTGTGTCTACCACATTGTACACTGATAACACCATTTATAACAGCAACAGTCTACCTAATGGTACATTGATAACACCATATTTCAAAGTATCTGTCTCAGTGGCATAGCCAGCGGGGTGCGGACCGCACCCGGTGACACAATTTTAGGGGTGACACCCAATTAAAAAATTGCATATTTACAGAGCACAGATTGCTCGGTCTAACCGAGATTCATAAAAGGATAACCAATCACACATACATTTTTTACAACTTTAACCAATCCAAATTCGTGCTTTATTAAAATTTCAAGGTTGATGCGTCAGAAATGAGATGACCTTATATTTAGGTCAGAAAAACACAGTCATAATTCCACGCCGATTGAGGTATTCATTAACTTCCGTAAGCAATATGTATCGATATTTTGAGAAATAGGGATTTCCATTGATACCAAATACGGTCAGGCGATTCTAAGTAAAAGAATTGGTAAAAATTGCAAATATTAAAATTAATTTTTATCCATTTATAGGGTTAAAAAAATATATTATTTTACACAATTTTCAATCTTTTAATGATTAATTCTTATAATTTAACTTAAATATAAATAAAGAAAAGTTTTTTTGAAGACATATATAATATATCGAAACCCAGATATACTCAAAAATTAATATTTTTCCCGATTCGTCTCTAGTATCGACCCTGAAAATTTGAGCACTATTATCATAATTCGACTGCTAGGTTTTACTGGCAACCTTTCTGGGTTATATTTTGCATAGTACTCGGACTGTTGGTTTTGAAAGGTCGTCAATAATTATTTTGTTGTTGTCTTGAAGATGACAAAATTGAATCATTTTTTTAATAGATTATTTTATTATGCCACACTGCGTGCACAAAACTGAACGGCTCAGTGGCTGTCAGCAGTAAAAAGCAAAAAAGAAAATACGTGACTCACTAAAATCACTACCAGAATACATGCTTCGATATCAAGAAACCAAATGATGACCAGGGTCAGGGTTCATCAAAAGACTTTCCTGAACCTACAATTGATACTGATTCTCCCGATACAAAGCAGCATGCATTCTTTTCAGCAAATAGTGGAGAAAATGGAAGAGATTGACGTGAAAACACAAGTTAAAGACATGGATAGTTTGGAAACAGAAATGTCGTGTGAGCGATGCTTTTCAAAACTAAGGCTTATCAAGAAATATTTATGATCCACCATGGGACAGTTTATGCTTTCTGATGTGGCTCAGCTATCAATTGAAAGTAAAGCAGTGACGGTCATTGATTTCGATCAAGCGATTGACAGGTTTGCAGCTCTGAAGACTAGGAAAGGAACATTTTTAATAATATAAATTTAACATAAAAATAACTATAAATTAACGTTGTTACAGTTTTTAAATAAATTTACCCCATGACTTTCGATTTATGTTTTTTGGGTCACGCCATTGTTATACTATGGACTTATATTAAAAAGAAGAAATCCATCATGGAAATTGGGGGGGGGGGGGGGGGGGTAGGGTGGCATTTGTAAAAAAAAATAATTAATTTAAAAATTCTTTTGAATAGATATAAAAAAAAAACAATGATAGTTATGTAGCAAATATCAAGAGAAAGAGGCCTGCAAAGTTTGAAGCCTGTCGATGTAACACTTTTTCCTCCTGATTCATTTGCATTGCTACAAAATCTGAAAACCCAACGTTGATAAAAATTGAAACGAAGGTTTTTTTTTTTTTTTTTTTTTTTT